TGAGATACTTAACAGTTTTCATTTACTTGGCTCCACAGTCAACACTCTTGGTAACAGCAGCCAGGAAATCAAGAGACGAATTGCATTGGGAAAGTCAGCTGTGAGGGACCTTTCAAGAGTACTGAAGAGCAACGACATCAGACTAGAGACTGAGGTGCGCCTGATTCAGACTATCGTCATCACAATTACGTGCTATGCATTGGAGAGTTAGACAGTGAATAGGGTTGATAGAAAGAGAATTGATGCCTTTGAGCTGTGGTGCTGGAGACGAGTGTTGAATATACCGTGGATTCTAGGAGAACAAACAGGTTTGTCCTGGAGAGGGTGAAGCCGGAAGGCTCTTTGGAGTCAAGGATTCTGAAGCTTCGTCTGACATATTTTCGGCATGTTGCAAGGAAGGACTGGTCCTTGGAGAGGGACATCATGTTTGGCAGAGTGGAGGGGTGGCGAAGGAGAGGAAGACCTTTGATGAGATGGATCGATTCTGTGAGTGGAGTGGTGGGAATAAGTGCATTTGAGATGACTGGGTTGGCACAGGCTAGAAGAGCGTTTAGAGCTCTTGTACATAGGGTCGCTATGAGTCGCAAGCGACTCAATGGCACATAACAACAACAACATTGATCTATACCTATTATTACACCCATCTTTTCATGTCTCCATTGAATCTTTCCTATTACTTCATCCCTCCTCCACCCACCAACCTCTGCTATTCAAGCAATGTCCCTCTGCCCCCTTTTTCTGCCCTCTTTTCCTTTTCCCATTATCTTTTTGAACATTTATACACATCTTGTTCAGTTTTCCTTCTATTTCTTTTAGGTTGTATAGCCCTGGTCTGTCCACTTGCTGTACAGAGGTAACTCGTGGCTGCTGTGAAGCCAACACCATGACACTGATGTGTCAAATGTGATAATGGTTACCTGTGAAGGACAGTATTTGCTGGAGCTCCCTGATTAAAAACAAGCTTTGAAGGAGGAGTGGCATCCACTTCCAAAATAGCTTGCTTTGGGAAACCCTATGAACCTGGAGATAGGATGAAAGTCATACAAGTGTTTCATTCATACAGTCACTATGAGTCAACTACAACTCGATGGCACTTAACAACAACAATGATGACAATAACAACAACATGTAGTATTTGTTCTTACGATAACTGAGTTATTTTATTCAGCATAATGCTTTTTTTTTTATGCTGAGAAAAACTTGTATGTAGAATTAGCCAGCTAGACTCAGTTTAAATGGTACCAATTTTGTTGGCAACATCCAAAACATCATAGGAGCAAGTCGAACATAGGCCTTCTTCTCACCATCAGGCCTAATCAAAGTGTTGACCTTAGCCATATCAATGTCACAGAGTTTCTTTACAGCTTGTTTAATTTGGTCCTTGTTGGCCTTGACATCCACAATGAACACAAGTGTGTTGTTATCTTCTATCTTCTTCATGGCTGACTCAGTGGCCAGGGGAAATTTGATGATGGCATAGTGGTCAAGCTTGTTTCTCCTGGGGGCGCTCTTCTGGGGATACTTGGGCTGCCTTCAGAGTCTGAGCATCGTAGGCCACCGGAAGGTGGGTGACGTGCGGATTTTTTTTTTTTTTTGGCTATGGATACCCTCCCTACAGGACTGCCTTCTTGGTCTTTAATGCCTTTGCTTTGGCTTCAGTTTTGGGAAGCTCGGGGGCTTCCTTCTTCACTTTTGGCTTCATCTTCATAGAAAAGCCAACATAATGCTCTTAGACTCTCCCATGTTGTATAATATTTTAAAAAATCATTGTTCCTTTGTGCTACACAGTATTCCATTGTCTGAATGTACCATAATTTCTTAATCTATTCGTTTGTTGATGGGCATTTGGGCTGTTTCCGTTTCCTTCCTATTATGACTAACACTTCTAGGAACATAGGCACACTCTGTTGGACTCTCAGTTTTAATTTCTTTGGGATATATTCCTGGAAGTGGAAAATCTTGCTC